TTCTAGCCAAGAGTCTATGTAGGGGAACTGATGGGGTGTCTGGGTTTTCCTGTAATTATGACATAAACTGTTTTTATTAAGTTTAAGTCCATGGTCCCCTCTGGTGGCCAGCTGACTCCCATTGAGGGCCATTAGACTGCGGAGTCAACCGGGTATCTTCTTCCCGTGGTCCCCGTCAACACCCTTTCACAAATTCTTAATCATATTTTTCAGCAAAGGTGTCTTAGATCCGTTTCTTCCCATTTCTCTTACCTTCTTGTTGGCCTGCTTCTTGTGGATCAAATACCTCACGTCTCCAGGCTTCTCCAAAAGGCCAATTCGTCTATCTTAACCAGCTGGTGGAGATGATGGGTCTCGCAGTAGATGGGTACCTCCTGGGTGAAGGCATAACATGAGCACACAAGAACCGGTTTCCTTTCTTTCCTTACAAAGAACCCTTTGGCAACCACTCGGTAAATTTACTCTGAGACGGCATGGACACACCTGCTAAATGGCTTTCAAAAATTCTTTCCTCTTCCCTAGCACGCTTGTAACGGAGAAGGCAATGGCACCCCACTCCAGTACTCTTGCCTGGAAAATCCCATGGACGGAGGAGCCTGGTAGGCTGCAGTCCATGGGGTCATGAAGAGTCAGACACGACTGAGAAACTTCACTTTCACTTTTCACTTTCCTGCCTTGGAGAAGGAAATCGCAACCCACTCCAGTGTTCTTGCCTGGACAATCCCAGGGACAGGGGAGCCTGGCGGGCTGCCGTCTATGGGGTCGCACAGAGTCGGACACGATTGAAGCAACTTAGCAGCAGCAGCAGTAGCATGCTCGTAAACCTGTGTACCGAGCGGTTATCACGACCTGCCTGAATCAGGCTCTCACGGGTCCGTGTCTCCCTTTTAGCCCCTCTCAGGGGGGTGATCAGGCCCCCTCTTCCACCCTGTTGGATGGGTTCCTCCTCACCTGAGCGCTCAGTTCCCTGGCTGCCGTTCACTATCTGTCAATGCGAAAGAACCCGGCGTTGGGTAGCTGAATCCTTCCAGAGGGGCTAGGTGCCTTCCACCCTCTAGGAGATTCAAGCCGCAAGCCTTGGGGTGGCCTCAAATGAGACTTGTCTCCTTAAAGTGAGGAGTTTCCTGGCCAATGCACCAAATGTTGTAGCCACGCGTACCAGGAAACAAAGTCACTCCGAAGAACAGTACAGACAGTTAAGTGCAGTTTATTAGACCGGCAGGCCCAAGGCAGAGTCTCCTCTTAGCCAACGACCCTGAACAGTTTCTGTGAAAACCTTATATACCCTAAGTGTACGTGCACAAACCCACCTCCCCAGATTCCTTGAAACTTGCCCAAACAAAGAGGGAGAGATACAATCACAATAAACCCATAACTTATGTGTCATGAGCTTAAACAGTTAAACAATTGGTCATTTATCAATAGGCTCGAGGTCACCCTCCGATGAGCACAACAAAATTTATGACCCTGTCCGGTGACAGGGGTAATTAGTGTGCTTTCCTTTAGACAATGGATAATCTAGGTACAGGTCCTGAAGCTCTTTTGTCCAGAGGGCGTCTATTCTTTCCTTGGTACAGACAGTGAGCACAAAGTTCAGAATCCACCGGGAGGGTGACCATGCGTGTAGCTTATGTAGGTCAGGCTTAAGATGGAGTGCACATCCTTCGGTTTCCTTCTTCACCACTAGACCCTGAGCCTCAGTATACACTCATTGTAACACATCAGCAAACTAAGGGATAGTGGTCCTCACAGTCACCATGACAGTTCCAGGTTGCTGTTGTTCAGTTGCCAAGTCATGTCCAACTGTTCTCAACCACATGCACTGCAGCATGCCAGGCTTCCCTGTCCCTCACCACCTCCCAGAGTTTGCCCAAGTTCATGTCCATTGAATCGGTGATGCCATCCAACGATCTCATCCTCTGTTGCCCTCTTTTCTTCTGTCTTCAGTCTTTTCCAGCATCAGGGTTTTTACCTGTGAGTCAGGTGGCCCAGTTTCTGGAAATCTCCATTCCCTTCCTGCAAATAGTTGCAATAATCCTCCCATGCATTAGCCTATGAAATTACCCATCCCATAAAAACTAATCATGCCATATTTCAGGGCCTGTCACCTTCTGAGGTGGCCCGTGCTCTGTGGAGTGTGTTTCTCTCTAAATAAATCCACTTCTTACCTATCACTTTGTGTCTCACTGAATTCTTTCTGTGATGAAACATCAAGAACCTCAGCTTCATTAAGTCCTGAAACCAAGTGTGTGATCTCAGTTGGAAACCACAAAAGTTCAAGTCCCAAACTGGGTTTTAGCCAGGTTCAAGTCTGAGCACATGGGTTCAAGTCCCAATCTGAAGTAAATGGTTTCAGTAATAACAGATTACTTGATCAGCTAATCAGCATCCTGAAAAAACAACTTTGGTCCCAGGAAGTGAGTAAATACCCTGGCACAGACTCCTAATAGTTGAGGTGGCTTAAGAAGGTTGGTTATCAAGTCCAGAATTCTAGCAAGCCTGCAAGGAGTTTTGGGCTTCCCCAGCTAGCTAATAATATTCACATGCTTTTGTTTGCAATTAAAACTTTCTTTAAAAAAGAAAGAAAGAAAGAAAACTTCTTTATACTGCATTCAATTAGTTGTTGCTTCTTGATTTCTAACAAGACATGTCTTTTTTTCACTTGCACCATTGCAGGCCCTTGATAATGATCTTCGACTATTAGAATGGCCTTAATGTCCCGCTTTACCCCCTTAGAAATCCACTCTGAAAACTCTTCAGTGTTCAATCTTTCAGAGATTTCCTATTACCAAAAAACCAAATCCACAAATTTCAAAAGTGCATACTTCACTAAATTGAAATGTAGATTATTGGGCTTCCCTGGTGGTTCAGTGCTAAAGAATCCACCTGTCAAGGCAGGAGACACAGGTTTGGAATGACCCCACAGGTCACCGAGCAACTAAGCCTGGATGCCACAGCTATTGAACCTGTCCTCTAGAGCCTGGGAAACACGACTACAGAGCCCATGTACAACAACTACTGAAGCCTGCCCACTCTAGAGCCCGTGTTCCACAACAAGAAAGCCACCGCAATGAGCAGTCCATGTACTGAAATTAGAGAGGAGCTCCCATTCTCTGCAACTTGAGAAAAGCCTGCACAGCAATAAAGATCCAACCAACCAAAAACAAATAAATAGACGTGTGTTAGTCATTCAGTCATGTCCAACTCTTTGCAACCCCAGGCTCCTCTGTCCATGGAATTCTCCAGGCAAGAATACTGGAGTAGGTAGCCATTCCCTTCTTCAGGGGATCTTCCCAACCCAAGGATTGCACTCAAGTCTTCTGCCTTGTAGGCAGATTCTTTTTTAAAACAAAGAACTGTAGATTATTAAACAGTATTTGATGACTTGAACAAAAAGGAAATGGCAAGACATGAATTCAAATAAAATACTATTGAAGAGCAAAACTAAATTTTTAAATTTTCATACTGAACATGTTTTCATTTTTGCCAAGAAATGGCTACTAATTTTTGTGAGAAAAAAAATGATAACATCGCATTTCTTTGAAAATAGTGTTTACAGTCATCTATGTGAAGTAAATCAATCTGCAATGTTAGAAAATAAACTTCATGGAACAGTATGGAGGTTCCTCAAAAAACTAAAAATAGAACTACCACATGATCCAGCAATCCTACGCCTCGGCATACAGCAGAGAAAATCATAATGCAAAAGAATACATGAACCCCAACGTTCACTGAAGCATTATTTACAATAGCCACGCTATGGAAAGAACCTAAATATCCATCCACAGAGGAGTGGGTAATGAAGATGTGGCACATATATACAATGGAAGATTATTCAACCATAAAAAGAATGAAATGATGCCATTTGCAGCGGCATGGATGGACCTGGAGCTTATCATACTAAGTGAAATCAGACAAAGACAAATATCATGATTATTGTTTATATGCGGGGTATCAAAATAATACAAATGAACTTTCTTACAAAAGGGAAATAGACTCACAGATGTAGAAAACAAACTTACCACAGGATAAAGGGAAGGGAAGGGTAAATTGGGAGATTGATGTTGACATAGACACACTACCATATATAAAATAGGTGAGTTTTGGAAAACAAAACAACAACAAAAATAAAATCGATAACTAATAAGGCCTACTATATACCACCTGGAGCTCTACTCTGTAATGACCTATATGGGAAAAGAATTTTTAAGAGTGGATATATGTATATGTATAATTACTTCACTTTGCTATGCAGCATAAACACAACATTGTAAATCAACTATACACCAATAAAATGTTTTAAAAATGGAGTATAAGCTATACAAATTTTGAATTGGTATGTTGTGCACCAACCTAGAGGACAATCCACGCCAGTATTCTTGCCTGGAGAATCCCATGGACAGAGGAGCCTGGCGGGCTACAGTCCATAGGATCGCAAAGAGTCAGACAGGACTGAAGCGACTTTAGCACGCAGGCACGTCGTGCACCTAACACTAATATTGTAAATCAACTACTTCAATTAAAAAAAATAATAAGGGGGAAAAAAATCCTAAAAAGGAAAAGAAAAGGAAAAGAAAAGGTACTTCATGTAAGTTTGTGAGTTTGTGTTTGGGTGGATTTCTGAGGCTCCAGAACTTACACCGGTTCCTCAAAGCGGTTCAGAACAAGGAAATGAACTGCTTAGATACACAACAACGCCGTAGGAAAAAAGTAACAATTTCCAGCTTGGAGTCTTTCCTTTGGTAAGATTCCGGGGGGGGGGGGGGGGGGCGTGTCCCAACGCTGGGCGACTCACCACCGCAGGCACCGGGGGTGGGAGGCCGCGGACACCGCTCCGGAAGCAAGCCCAGGTACCAGGGCGGCTGCGCGACGCTTTTCGGGCGGGACTGCCCCGGGGGAAAGTTCAGGCAAAGTCCTCTCGGCCGGCCCCTCGCCCTGCGCGCTCCGAGTCCCGAGGAGACGTGTTCGTTGCCCCCGCGGCAGCCCTCGCAGCCCCCGCCATGGCCACGCCCCTCCTCCGCGGAACCCTGCGCCTGTGGGGCGGCCGCGGTGCACCGTGCCTGCCGCTGGCCTCGAGGTGAGTGCCGGCCGGGCTACAGCTAGTCCGGCCCCGGGGCTGCAGGGCCGGGCGGCGACCCGCGCACCACTCCTGGGGGCCGGAAATCAGGCGGGGCTGGCGGTCTAGCCACCAGGGGCTGGGGCTGAGCTGTGGGGGCGGAAGAGGGTGGGAGAAGAGGCTGGGCCTTGCTCTTGGACTCCCAGGACCTGGTGGGACCCACCGCGGTTAGCAGGGCGGGCGCCGGGCGAGCAGCCTCAACGCGAGCACAGCCAAAGGCGGCGGGAGGCGCGGGGGATGTACCCAAATACTCAGGTGGCTCCGGTCTAGCCCGTTTGGATCCGAGGGCCGCAAGGGGCACTGAGTCCTCATTTCCTAGAGTTCTTGCGAAAGGTCGACGCACACTTGGGCACAGTTGGCAAGAGTTCGAGGCACGCCCTCTGGTCCAGTTAGATCTGTGGCAGAAGGCACAGCCAACTTGTGAACTTGGAAGCGGGACTTTCACTGCCTCTCAAATCTCTAGAAAAGAAAGCACGTGCAGCGAGCGACGCTGGCCCAGAAAAGACATCCCAGGACAGGAAAAGACCTGGTGATGGCCGCATTAGATAAGGAAATTAACGTAAGGCTTAACAAATCCTTATAGTTAAGTTTTGCATGGGAATTAATGGAGAGAGTTTCTAAGTGACTCGGTGATTATTAAGGTAACGTTTATAAGATCAAAAGCTTCCGATACCGGCTGACACCTCAAATACAATCATTGGATAAATAAACTGGAAGCACTTGTTTATTTATTCATTCCCTATGTAAAAAAAGTTTAAAAAAAAAAGTGACAGGATGGATAAATCAACTTGCAGCAGCATTATGGCGATTCTGGCTCAGTGGTAAAGAATCCGGCCTGCCAATGCTGGAGACGTGGGCTGGAGAGGTGGGGTGGCAAAGAGTCAGGTGGGACTGCACACACACCAGATGCTATGGAAGGGAAACAAATTTCCTGCTGCCCCTGAGGAGAGCTGGGAAGGCTTCATGGTGGAGTAACTTTACTTTTGAATACACATACTTTTCTAAGCTGTCTCCCAAACTTCATAAGACAGTGATGCTCAAATTTTTGGATTTTAAACTTTGTGCTGTTAAACTTTGTTGTTTAGTCGCTAAGTCTGTCGGACTCTTTGTGACCCCAGGGACTAGCCCACCAGGCTCCTCTGTCCATGGGATTTCTCTGGCTAGAATACTGAGGTGGGTTTCCATTTCCTTCTTTAGGGGATCTTCCCTACCCAGGGACTGAACCTACATCTTCTGCTTGACAGGCAGATTCTTTACCACTGAGCCACCTGCAAAGCCTGCTGTAAAAATGAGAGGGCCTCAAAGATCTTTTGTTTACATCAGTTTTATCTATGGACATTAATGTCAACAGATATCTACAAACCTGGGAAATTTTTATGTACCAAAAATCTTCATTCTCACATCTGATACTGAATCTGTGGCTGCAGGTAATATGTCACAATTTCGAAAATAAAACGTCCCTTGTCTTCATTCTTTGGAAGTCTTCAGTCACAAAGTTACACCTTATTTTCATAGCAAGATAAATGAATTAGGCTGGAAGGGGATTAAGGAGTTAAAATGATGATAAAAGGATTAAGGAGTTACACCAATGATAAAAGAGGAGCATTTTTCCAAGCATATCCTTTCAGATTAATTTACAAAAGTCGTTACAGAACCATGATTTCAGTGAAAATCAACATAAGTTATACCTTAAAAAAAATCAGTTCAGAAATACTAGGTGTAAGACAAGCATGCAAAATTTGAAAATGTGAAATTTTACAAATATTTAGTTCACATAAACGTAGCTCATTACATGTTAACATAGACATTTTTACAAAAAGTAACTTTTCCACAAAGAAAAAAGTGAGAAGAGTGACATTGTTTTGCATTTTTGTAGATCCCTTAATATCAGGCTTAATAGAAGACAGCCTGATTTTCTTTTTCTCTTTTTAAACTTTTTATTTTATATTGGCATATAGCCAATTAGCAATGTTATGATAGTTTCGGGTGGACAGCAAAGGGACTTAGCCTTACATATACATGTACATGTATCCATTCTCCTCCAAACTCCCCTCCCATGTCAGTCAATCAGTTAAGTCGCTCAGTCATGTCTGACTCTTTGTGACCCCATGGACTGCAGCACACCAGGCTTTCCTGCCCATCACCAACTCCTGGAATTTGTTCAAACTCATGTCCATCGAGTCAGTGATGCCATCCAACCATCTCATCCTCTGTCATCCCCTTCTCCACCTGCCTTCAATCTTTCCTAGCATCAGGGTCTTTTCCAATGAGTCAGTTCTTCACATCAGGTGGCCAAAGTATTGGAAATTCAGCTTCAGCATCAGTCCTTCCAATGAATATTCAGGACTGATTTCCTTTAGGATTGACTGGTTGGATCTCCTTGCAGTCCAAGGAACTCTCAAGAGTCTTCTCCAACACCACAGTTCAAAAGCCCCTCCCATATAGACTGCCTCTAACACTGAGCAGTGTTCCCTGTCCTATGTGTGGTAGGTCCTTGTTGGTTATCCATTTAAAATATAGCAGTCTACATGTTGATCACAAACTCCCTGCCTATCCCTTCCCCTATCCTTCCCCCAAACATTCCCCCTCCTAAGTGCCTTCTCTTAAGTCTGTAAATTAAGACTGCCTGATTTTCATACCTGCTTCTTCATTGTCTATTGTCATGTTGTTTTGGTTGATGAATAGGAAGAATGAGCTTCCCAGGTGGCGCTAGTGGTTAAGAACCCGCCTGCCAAAGCAGGAGATGTAAGAGACAAGGATTAGATTCCTGAGTCAGGAAGATCCTCTGGAGAAGGTCATAGCAACCCATTCCAGTATTCTTGCCTGGAGAATCCCATGGACAGAAGAGCCTAGAAGGCTACAGTCTATAGAGTCACATGGAGTTGGACACCACTGAAGCAGCTTAGCACACACATAGGAAGAATATTGGAACAAAGAGGACCTGAGGGACCCTCTAAATAGGTCAGAGGCTCTAGTTTTATTATAACAAGTATCGACAAAAAATTATAGTCACAGTCTGAAAGTAGAGAGTTATTTTATTTGGTGGAAATGTTTAGGACTCCAAGCCCAGGAGACAGCCTCTCAGAAGCTCTGAGAAAACTGCTCCAAGGAGGTAGGAAGAGAGTCAGGCTATATACAAGTTTGCAACAAAGGGAGACGGCAGTCTGAACATCAAAGATCAGGTATCAAATTAAGGAATTTAGCATTCGATGTACGGGAAGAGGCAAGCCTCTTGGCTCAATGAATTCATTCCTTCATATGCACCTCAGCTATCTGGAGCCAATCCTGTTTTCTTGTTCACCTTGCTTCTTGCATTCCCCCAGCTCCTCAGCAATCACTGTGGAGGGGATGGCAGCATCTGATGGATCTCAGTTTGGGGAGCCCTCTCACTTTTGGAGGCCAGAAATCACTGATGGCTGTGACATTTCTTGTTGATGAATATGGCAGGAGATATTTTCATTTCACACAGGCTTCTTAAACTTTAATGTGCATATTTAGGATAAAATATTAAAATACAGTTAGGCCTGAATAGCATGTATATGAATTTTGAGGGTCCACGTACATGGGAATTTTTTTCAGTAGTAAACACTACAGTACTACACAGTCTTTGGTTGCTTGAATCCAAGGATGCAGAACTGTGCTCTGGAGGAATCTCAATAATGGAGTACACCTGGATTTTTTACTGTGTGAAGGTTGGGCGTCCCTCACCCCTATGTTGTTCACAGGTCAAGTATGCTGACTGATTCAGTCGGCCTTGGATGAGGCCTGAATTTGTGTATTTATCACCAGCTCCCAACCTGAAGGTACTGGTGGAGACTGTCTCCCTTCTTTTATAGTGTAAATGAGGCTTAAAAAATTATGATAATAATAATAATTAGAGCCTAGCCTGTTAGATTAGTAGCAGTTTAATGCATTAGGAAAACAATGAACAATTTATTCAGTACAGATTTCCTGGTTTTTGTAGGGAGAAAAGGAGCCAATATGTTTAGTACTGGTTCCTTGGTCTTGGAAAAAAATGGCTATTCCAAAAACTTACTGCCAAGTGTTTTGGTTTCCTTCCCCCTGCACATTCTCTTTTGAACACTTTTGACTGATCTGAACGTCTTTGTTCTTTCTGGCACTTCTGTCACTTTCCTGTGTCTTAGTGTGTTTTATTTAGAAATGTTCCAAAGATTTCCTTTATGTTACATGGGATATAAAATTTTAAGATCCAGGAAGACTCAAATATAAGTTGCACTCTATTATTTACTAATCATGCTGAGAAATGATTCAGTGTCTTCATGTCTCAGTACCCTAGTCTCAGCACATTTTTTCCCTTGAGGAAAAATCCCAAGTATGGACCAAGACATTGTATATTATAAAGAAATTGGAACCAATCCTTTCAGTAGAGAATGAAGTAGATTTTATTCTCTCTATTGCTGTAATGTTACAGTGGTGTGCAAGACCTTTGCTTGCTATTGTATCCCAAGTTGCTTGATATCCCAAGTTGCATGGTTCCTAGTACATATTACACACTCAGAAAGTATTTGTTGGCTATGTGAATAAATAAGCTATTTAAAATGATGATTTGGAAGACAGAGTAGCAAACCAGAAAAATATCAGTGAAGATAAACAGCAGACCAGGTATAACAATTGTACTATTAATTGTTCTCAACTAAAGGTTACCGCTTAAAAGACATCTCAGATTATTTACCAAATAAGACTCAACTTAGAGTCGCTTATAATAGGACTAAAGCAAAATGACACAATATACATATTAAGTGTATTAATCAGCTCAGACTTCCATAACCAAATGCTGTAAACTAGGTGGTTTAAACAACAGAAATCTATTCCTCATAATTCTAGTGGCTGAATAGTCCAAAATCAAGGTACTGGCCAGTTCATTTCCTGGTCAGAACCATCTTCCTGGCCTGTTGTTGTTCAGTCATTCAGCTGTGTCTGACTCTTTGCAACCCATGAACTGCAGCTTCCTGTCTGACAGGAAGCCAGGCTTCCCTGTCCTTCACCATCTCCCGGAGCTTGCTTAAATTCATGTCCATTGAGTCAGTGATGCAGTCCAACCATCTCACCCTCTGTCGTCCCCTTCTCCTCCTGCCTTCAGTCTTTCTCAGCATCAGGGTCTTTTCCAGTGAGTTGGCTCTTCGCAACAGGTGGCCGAAGTATTGGAGCTTCAGCTCAGCATCAGTCCTTCCAATGAATATTCAGGACTGATTTCCTTTAGGATGGACTGGTTCAACCTCCTTGCTGCCAAAAGGACTCTCAAGAGTCTTCTTCAACACCACTGTTCAAAAGCATCACTCCTTTGGCACTCAGCCTTCTTTATGGTCCAACTTACAAATCTCTATCCATAGTTCTTCAGGCACTCTGTCTATCAGCTCTAATTCCTTGAATCTATTTGTCACTTCCACTGTAAGGAATTTGATTTAGGTCATATCTGAATGGCCTAGTGGTTTTCCCTATTTTCTTCAATTTAAGTCTGAATTTTGTAATAAGGCTTTCATGATCTGAGCCACAGTCAGCTCCTGGTCATTTTTGCTCACTGTATAGAGCTTCTCCATCTTCAGCTGCAAAGACTGTAGTCAATCTGATTTCACTACTGACCTGATTTCCTGGCTTTCCCTTGGTCCTCACTAGACCTTTCCTGTGTGCACACAGAACTGTATCTCTCTCTTCCCCTTCTTATAACATAAGTCTAGCTTCTTGGTTTAAATTCCAGCTTTAGGACCTCATTGAACTGTAATTACCTCCTCAAAGCCATATCTCCAAATACCACTACATTGGGAGTTTAAGCCTCAACATATGAAATGGGTTGAGGGGAGGGAAGCGAGTGCAATTTAGTCCATTGCATTTCAGTTCATTGCATTAAGCAAAGACACACAAACTGGAACAAAATAGCCCATTTCAGGGGAGAAAAAAGAAATGCCTAATTGCCAATAAAGAAGACTTAATCTTTTCTGGACTAAGAAGAAGAGGAAGAAAAAGGAAAAGGAAGGAAAGGATAGGATCAGATCGGAGTCCAAATAAGGAAGAGAGAAACCCAAAACAGTATCGTGCAAAACAGAAAAATACTTTTTGGCAATATTCAAATATATGATAAAAAGTTTTTTTAGATGTGAGCTCAAAAGGTACAAAGTGGTACACAGAGTTTTGAAATCTTTTTAGGTGTACCCCTAGGGAGTGGGGAGATCTGAATTCAGACCATTTAACAAAAGGAACTTTTTTATCTTTTTTGAAGCCTGGTATTGGGCACTGCAGGGAGAGGAAAGGCCAGTCTCCAAAGATCTTGAATAATTCTGGACTAATCCCTACAGAAACTGGTGGGCATTTTGATATCACTTTACAATTAGGTTGTAATGTAGCAATAAAAATCAACACAGTCCTGCTGATGTATGGCAAAAACCATCACAGCATTGTAAAGTAATTATCCTCCAATTAAAATTAATTAATCAATTAAAAAAATCATCACAGTTTGCATGTTATATACCTGCCATTTGAAATTGCATAATTATGGATAAAATATTGATGGGGATTACATTATTTTAAATACTGTACATTACTTGAAAACATATCAATATTATTCTTCCTGACTTGCATGGGAGATTCCACATATAAGTGATGACTCAGATGGTGGGGAATCTGCCTGCAGTGTGGGAGACCCAGGTTCGATCCCTGCGTTGGGAAGATCCCCTGGAGAAGAGAATGGCTACCAGCTCCAGTATTCTTGCCGGGAGAATCCCATGGACAGAGGAGCCTGGCAGACCATGGAGTCATTCAGAGTCAGACACGACTGAGCAACTGACTACATGATGATGATTATTCTGTTGTACTATTTGAATTTTACATGATTTAGTTGACATCACGTGAATTTTACATTCTTTAATCAGCATCACATGACAGTGTTAGTCTACCGCAGCTCACGCATGTGATCAATTTTAGGCACCATGTCCTCTTTTTGGATTTGCAAGTAAAGTTTGAGTTGAATCAGGGTAAGCTACTTGTTGACCTCATCCAATGGAGGCAGATCCTAAAGTAGTTCTGCCCAAATCTGAACCAGTTTGTATGATTTCAGACTCTCTACTTATCTCTAAAGTGCCTCGGGGGTGGGGAGGGCAGTGGAAGGGAGTCAGAATTTTTTCCATGTTATCCTATAGAATTAATTTTCCATGTTGTTCAATGAAATTAATTCAGATGTGAAGAGTAACCTTTGACTGAATTTTATTAATGTGTTTGTATTTTTAAGATGTTATCATTCTGGAGGTGAAGAACGTCTAGAAACTTGTTCTGCTAAAAAATTAACAGATATAGGAACTAGAAGAATCTTCTCTTTAAAACATGACATTTTCCGGGAAAGTGTAAGGAAGTTTTTTCAAGAAGAAGTGATTCCTTATCATGCAGAGTAAGTGGCACATTTTCTTTTAAAGTAATACACATTAGAAGTCCAAGAAGGACTGTTTTCTTTTTTGTTTGTTTGTTTGTTTTCCAGATGTTCAAGCTGGTTTTATTTATTTATTTTTTCCTTTATTTTTATTAGTTGGAGGCTAATTACTTTACAATATTGTAATGGTTTTTGCCATACATTTTCATGAATCGGCCATGGATTTACATGTGTTCCCCATCCTGATCCCCCCTCCCACCTCCCTCCCCATCCCATCCCTCTGGGTCTTCCCAGTGCACCAGCCCCGAGCACTTGTCTCATGCATCCAACCTGGACAGGCAATCTGTTTAAGACTGTTTTCTAGAATGCTCTTTGTTGTTTAATAGAAACAGTACTGTGTTCAGTGCTTTGTTAACATTTTTACCACTCTTCAATATAATAGTGTAAGGTTATAAGATTCTTCAACTAGTTCAAGGGCTTTCCTGGTAGCTCAGCAGGTAAAAAACCCTCCTACCAATGTAAGAGACTCAGGTTCAATGGCTGCCCATTCCAGTATTCTTGCCCGGAGAATTGCATGGACAGAGGAGCCTGGTGAACTAACTGTAAGCTCCCCGTCCATGGTGTTGCAAAGAGTTGGACACAACAGAGCGCACATGTATGCATAAACTAGTTCAAAGCTTCTTAAATGAATTTTAAAATACACAATTAAAAAATACATTTTAAGGGGCTTTCCTGGTGGTCCAGTGGTTAAGACTTCATTTTCCAATGCAGGGCGTGCCAGTTTGATCCCTGGCTGAGGAGCTAGGATCCCACATGCCTTGTGGCCAAAGGACCAAAACATAAAACAGAAGCAATGTTATAACAAAATCAACAAAGACTTTAAAAAATTAAAGATATTTATATGTTGACCTAAGACAAGTTGATTGCCTGTTATTTCTCAAGCAAAGAAAAAAAAATGGGTTTATTCAGGATCAGCAGAGAATTGCAGTTTGGGGTCTGCAACCACAGTGATCTGTGTGCAAGGCCCCCCCACCCCTGCCCACCCCCGCCACAGCAAGGGAAGGAGAGCATGTTCATAGAGAGAAAAAGGAAGTTGGGAGGGCTGGGGTAAACACAGGGTCCATGGCTTTTCAGTGGCTGAGCCCTTGCTGGGAAAAAGGAGTCTTTCTTATTCCTGTTGGGCCCTACTGTTGTCACAGAGTATGAGAGCACCCCCTTTATTATCTTAAATTAAGGGACTATTCTGCTCAAAATCATTCATAAATTCAAATTGTAGCCATTTAAAAAATATGAAAACACTTTTTCTGATTTTAAAATGTTTTGTTATTTGCAGATGGGAGAAAGCTGGAGAAGTGAGTAGGGAGCTTTGGGAAAAAGCTGGAAAACAAGGACTACTTGGAATCAATATTGCAGATCGCCATGGTGGCATTGGGGGGGACTTGTATTCATCAGCTATTGTTTGGGAGGAGCAGTAAGTATGAAAACATTTGAAGTTGAGTCTTGTTTTGTTATCTCACCTTTCTGAGATGATTTAAAAATGATTTCTAATATTCTTATAAGATTTAAAATCTCCTTTTAAGTTGATAAAGTAGTTGCTTCATTTCTAATTGACCCATGTGACTGTTTCAGAGATTTCAGTTGATAAATGGGGAAAAGATTTGAACCATCAAGTCCTCAAAAAAGAAATGCAAATAGCTTTTTAAATGAAAAGGTTTACCCTTTCTACCAATCAGATGTAAATTAAATTATATCTAGAGATATATCATTTTGAGTACAAAAGGTAGTCCAAATGAAAAGTCATAATACCCAGTGCTGACAAGCTTGCACATTAAAGTGACTCATATACTCTTGGTGGCATTATATATTGGAGCAATAAGTGCTTTGGTGATGAAAATCATGGATACATAAAAAATGAAAATCTTTCTACTCTTTGGATGCCATTTTGGGGAATTTGTCATTAGGAAATAATTTATTAGAAAAAAATAACAGCTATGTACAAACATCATTGCCTTGTTAGATTATAATCCCTCAAATTTGGAAGCAATCTAAATGTATGGCAGTGGGAGAATGAATAAGTATATTCGTGCCGTGACCACAGCTGTATTCAGTTAGTTCAGACACTCAGTCACGTCCTACTCTTTGTGACCCCATGGACTGCAGCACGCCAGGCCTCCCTGTCCATCACCAACTCCCAGAGTTTACTCAAACTCATGTCCATGGAGTCGGTGATGCCATCCAACCATCTCATCCTCTGTCATCCCCTTTTCCTCCCACCTTCAATTTTTCCCAGCATCAGGGTCTTTTCAAATGAGTCAGTTTTTCACATCAGGTGGCCAAAGTATTGGAGTTTCAGCTTCAGCATCAGTCCTTCCAGTGAATATTCAGGACTGATTTCCTTTAGGATGGACTGGTTGGATCTCCTTGCTATTGGCCTCTCAAGAGTCTTCTGCAACACTGCAGTTCAAAAGCATCAGTTCTTCAGCACTCAGCTTTCTTCATAGTCCAATTCTCACATTTAATATGACTACTGGATAAACCATAGCTTTGACTAGACAGACCTTTGTTGGCAAAGTAATGTCTCTGCTTTTTAATATGCTGTCTAGGTTGGTCATAACTTTTCTTCCAAGGAGCAAGCACCTTTTAATTTCATGGCTGCAGTCACCATCTGCAGTGGTTTTGGAGCCCCCCAGAAATAAAGTCTGTCACTATTTTCATTGTTTCTCAATCTATTTGCCATGAAGTGATGGGCCCTGATGCCATGATCTTAGTTTTCTGAATGTTGAGCTTTAAGTCAACTTTTTCACTCTCCTCTTTCACTTTCATCAAGAGGCTCTTTAATTTTTCTTTGCTTTCTGCCATAAGTATAGTGTCATCTGCATATCTGAGGTTATTTATCTTTTTCCCAGCAATCTTGAATCCAACTTGTGCTTCATCCATTCCAGCATTTCTCATGATGTACTCTGCATATAAGCTAAATAAGCAGGGTGACAAAAATACAGCCTTGATGTACTCCTTTCCCAATTTGGAACCAGTCTGTTGTTCCATGTCCAGTTCTAATACAGCTGTATTAGAAATACATATATCCTTATGGCAAAGGTCATTTGCTGAAATGTGTTTAGGGTAATACAGTTGTAGGTGGTAAATTTTTTTAATGTTTTATCTTTTAGTTCATTAAATAAGTGATCATTGAGCTCTGCTAGAGTGCTGTTATTATGTTAGAGCCAGAAATTAAAAGGTTAGCAAAAAACAAAGAGAGAAAACCTTCAGGAACTTCATGGGTTTGTGAGGAGACAAGCTGTCAGCACATAATGTGATAAGGGTTTAGTACTGCCCTTTGAACATCCATTTCCTGGCCACTGGCTGCCAGAAACATATTGAAGTGGATGATGAATGAAGACTTCAACAGAAACTTCATACCTTTGGTGAGAAATGTATGGCCACAGACGCTGACACTCTTGGTGAAGAGAAGAAGGATTATGTGGTCCAAACCGGTGGGAATGACAAACAGGTTTCCCATGAAGCAAGGTGTCTTGACCCATGACCAAGTCTGCCTACTACTGAGTGAGGGGCATTCCTGTTATAGACTGAGGAAGACCAGAGGGGAAAAGAGCACATCTGTACAGGGTTGCATTGTGGATGCCAGTCTGAGTGTTCTCAATATGGTCATCATTAACAATAGGGAGACGGATATTCCTGGACTCACTGATACTGTTGTGCCTCATCCCCTAGGGCCCAAAAGAGCTAGCAGACCCCCCACCCCCCAAAACAAGGGGCTCAATGGGACATTCCCCGCCACTCCCCAAAACAAAAGAGTTAGCAGAATCCGAAAGCTTTTCAGTCTCTCTAAAGAAGATGATATCCACCAGTAAGTTGTGAGAAAGCCTCTAAACAAAGAAGATTAGACACCCAGGACCAGAACACCCAAGATTCAGTGCCTGTGACTGTGTTCTGCAACACAAACATCAGCATATTGCTCTGGAGGAACAGCGAACTAAGAAAAAGAAGAGAGAGGTTACAGAATATGAGAAACTTTTGGCCAAGAGAATGAAGGAGGCCAAAGAAAAATGCCAGGAACGGTTTGCCCAGAGATCAAAACTGAGATGTTCTAAGAGTAACAAACGAATAAGATCAGACATAAAAAAAAAGACCTTCTAGTACTTGTTTTCTAATTAAAAATCAGAGGAACTAAAAAGAGAAAAAAATAGCTGTGTTGTGCTTTAAATTGTCTTCTCTTTTTTTCTTTCTAAGAGCATATTCAAATTGTACAGGACCAGGTTTTAGTCTTCATTCAGATATCGTCATGCCCTATATTGCAAACTATGGTTCAGAAGAACAGATGAAGCGCTTCATCCCCGAGATGGTTGCAGGGAAATGTATTGGTGCCATAGCAATGACAGAGCCTGAGGCTGGAAGGTAAATCAATGTTTGGTTGGTTTTGAAATCTCAGAAGCAAGGTCTTAACCACAAATATGAATGAGTATAGGCTTGTTATGCTCTGTAAAAATCAGGCTAATCTATGAATCTCAATCAAATATTCATTTGTATAAACAGTTTAGAATATATCAGACATGATTTTTCAGTGCATTTGTGTGAACATTCCTAATATTAGTTAAATGTCAATTTTTATAATGGTGTAGCAGTATAAATTATCACAGTAAATACATAACAATATTTGCATAGTTTATTTTTTGCCAGTTAATGAATTCTTTTATCATTCCTTTCAATTACAGTGATTTGCAAGGAATAAGAACAAATGCCAAAAAGGATGGAAGTGACTGGATTCTTAATGGAAGCAAGGTTTGTAAAGAATGGCTTCCATAACTCTCCTCTCTGAAGTCATGCTGTGGGGTAACAAAGTCTTAAAGACTACTCATCATTGAGTCTTCTCAGGTCTCTGAGTCACATGGGAATTGTTTACTTGAGCTGGCACTGGAACTGAGCTGATTTATTTTGGACACAGTAAGAACTGGACAGCATTCATATTACCTGAGACATATTCCTCTTCCTTGTTCTGTTTGCATGTTCTCTCACTAATATGGAAAATGTTGTTTTAGCTTCCAGGCAGCCTTTTTCAAACCAGAAAAAGAAAAGGTGAGGCTTACATTGTCCAAATAGGAGACAAACAATAGTTAATGAATTTGATGTTGATGAGAAATGAGGGGAAAGACTTCTTATAAATATCAAGAAGAGTTTCAAAAGATCTTAAGAGAAAAAGTATTTTTAATAGAATTTAAGAGCCTTTCAACCTTTCTGAGCATCACATCAATCCACTGATAGAATTGGAGAGCACCTGCGATTGAGATTATAGATAGGCTCAGAAGTAAATGTATCTTTTAGAGTCGCACATCACTGATGGCAGAGGTTTTTGTTTACCTAAACCTGTGTCTAGTATACACCCAGTAAAGATTTATTGATGACTGAGTGTTAAGTGAAGAAAAGATATTCATTGTCTGTACTAAGGATATCTTACCAAAAGTTTCAAAGACTACTGAGCAACTAAAGTGTCTTTGAACATTAAAAATTTTTTTATTAGTTTCTGTTGTTGTTGTTGTTAGTGTTTCTTTTTTTCTTTTTAAAAAATTTTTGGCTGCACCACGTGACATATGGGATCTTAATTCCACAACCAAGGATCACAGCCATACCCCCTGCATTGGAAGCACAGAGTCTTAACCACTAGACCACCAGGGAAGACCAAAAATTTTCTTATTTGTTTTCAACTAAGACCTTTGCGTTTGCAAAATCATAAGCTTGAATGTAGTGATGCTGTTAAATTGCTTTAAAACTTTCTAAACATCCAGTTTCTGTACTTATATCGTCAAGGATTAGTAACAGTTTGTGGACTGACATCAGTTTGATGAACACATTTTGAGTAGCCCAGTTCTAAAGACCATTCCGTTATCTAGTTTAGTAATGAATTAATGTAGTTTTGGTTGCACTGGGTCTTTGCTGCTGTGTGTAGGCTTTCTGTAGTTTCAGCGAGTAGGGGCTGCTCTCTAGTTGTGGCATGTGGGCTTCTTGTCGTGGTGGCTTCTCTTGTTGCAGAGCATGGGCTCCAGGCATGCAAGGCTTCAGTAGCTGCAGCTCCTGGGCTCTAGAACGCAGGCTCGGTAGTTGTTGTATATGGGCTTTAGTTGCCCTGTGGCATGAGAAATCTTCCTGGACCAGGGATAGAAACTGTGTACCCTGCATTGCCAGGCATATTCTTGACCTTTGGACCACCAGGGAAATCCACATAGTCATTATACAGAAAAACAATCTGCAGCATCAAAAAATTGGGGAAATGTGTCCTCTTTCTCACTCTTTGAGAAGCTGGTATGTATCATAAACTTTTAAAAGTTGGATATTAAGTGTTTTATGCCTGTAAGAAAAAGGAAATTCTCTTTTTGTAGAGTATCTTGAATTACTGATGTTTTTCAAACTTGTCTGCATTCTCAGTAGGTCAGTCATGTCTGACACTTTGTGAACCCATGGACCACAGTCCACCAAGCTCCTCTGTCCATGGAATTTTCCAGGCAAGAATACTGGAGTGGGTTGCCATTTCCTACTCCAGGGGATCTTCCTGACCCAGGGATTGAACCTGAGTCTCTTGTGTCTCTTGCGTTGGCAAGCAGATTCTTTACCACTGAGCCACCTGGGAAGCCAAATATACTTTAAGAAATATTAATCTGAGTTATTTTTCTAAGGATTATAATAAACAGATGCTAACTATTAAAATGATATATAACCAGTTAACTCTCTGCACAAAAAGGGCTTGTTTTGGTGGAAGAGTAGGGTATTTGATCAAAAGTGAAATGGGAACCATGTTCTCCTAAGATTCCAACTTTCTAAGTCTGCCCAATCTTCTCAGTTAGACTCTTCTGTGGGAACCACCTGGGAAAGTACCTCAGATTTTCAAAAAAACTATTAGGCATAGTAACAAATTTAAAGGAAGCAGAGGTAAAGAAGCAAGTAAGTAAATACATTACATCAATAAGATGACTTAATATATACCTATTAAAGCATCAACACAAACTTTTTAATGGTATAGGAAAATAATTGTATTAAGTGAAAAGATCATATAAATATTTAAATGAAATGCTCAGCTGGTAAAGAATCCGCCTGCAATGCAGGAGACCTGGGTTTGATCCCTGGGTTGGGAAAATCCCCTGGAGAAGGGAAAGGCTACCCACTCCAGTATTCTGGCCTAGAGAAGTCCATGGATTGTATGGTCTGTGGGGTCGCAAAGAGACACGATTGAGTGACTTTCACTTCATGCATATAAAATGTAAATACAGAATAATTTCAACTATATTAAAAGAAAAAAGATCGGAAAGGAATCTCTCAATGATATTTGTATGATGGCTTCATGGAGGATTTTTTTCCCCTTTTTCTTTGTAATACTGTATACTATCTACATCTGTAAAGAATGTTTGTTATAGGCATTCAATACCAAACAAAAAAATAAATGATCCCTCACTAGGGATAATCTCAGCCCCATAAAAAGTTTTGACTGTCATAATTAAGAAAGAAGTCAAAGATATCTCATACAAAGAGAATTCTCTTGTAATTTTATTAGAAAAGAGGATCAGTCATGGTGGAAATGCTCACATTAAGTATTAGTAACATAAAGATAACAAACAAATACTGTTTCAGAAATTCAACTGGTAACTGCATAAATGGTCTTTATTATTTTAGACAGATAGGAAGTTGAGAGACCTAAATGGCTTTTGAGCAAGGGAGTGGTATACTGGAGAAACGCTGTAGAAAAAAAAAAAAGCTGTGTTTACCATGATGTACACAATTTTTTTTGAGGAGTATGTTTTTCTCACTTTTTGAGCAGACATCCCTGAAGGCCTTCTATATGCCAAACCTTGTTCTAAGTACTGAAGATACATGCATAGGAAATAGTTCCTACCGTCAAGGAACTACTAGAGATGTTGAGAGTTTTTCCTGTTATGTCACTTACAACTGTGCCATCTCCTGTGCTTCCATTGGCTGTCATGGACACGGCACTAACGTCACTCCCATCTCCATTGTTGCTTAGTATTAGCACTCTGTGTTTTAGAGATGAATCTTATAAGAGGCATGGATGGTAGGTGATGGAGTAACCAACACCATTTTATGCCTATACTGTTTCACAGGGACAGAGACAAGATTAGATCATTCGTATAGAGTTTGACAGATACCAAGATCACTGCAGATGGTGACTGCAGCCATGAAATTAAAAGACGCTTACTCCTTGGAAGGAAAGTTATGACCAACCTAGACAGCATATTAAAAAGCAGAGACATTACTTTGCCAACAAAGGTCCGTCTGGTCAAGGCTATGGTTTTTCCAGTGGCCATGTATGGATGTGAGAGTTGGACTGTGAAGAAAGCTGAGCACCGAAAAATTGATGCTTTTGAACTGTGGTGTTGGAGAAGACTCTTGAGAGTCCCTTGGACTGCAAGGAGATCCAGCCAGTCCATCCTAAAGGAGATAAGTCCTGGGTGTTCATTGGAAGGATTGATACTGAAGCTGAAACTCCAATACTCCAAAACTCCAATGAGAAGAGTTGAGTCATTGGAAAAGACCCTGATGCTGGGAGGGATTGGGGGCAGGAGGAGAAGGGGACGACAGAGGATGAAATGCCTGGATGGCATCACCGACTCAATGGACATGGGTTTGGGTGGACTCCAGGAGTTTGTGATGGACAGGGAGGCCTGGAGTGCTGCGATTCATGGGGTAGCAAAGAGTCGGACACGACTGAGTGACTGAACTGAAGATCACTGCAGATGGTGACTGCAGCCATGAAATTAAAAGACTTTTAATTAGATTTAAAAATTTTAAAATTAAATTTAATTAAAAATTAAAATTGCTCCTTGGAAGAAAAGCTGTGACTAACTTAGACAGCATATTAAAAAGCAGAGACATTACTTTGATGACAAATTTCTGAGACATTACTTTGATGACAAATGTCTGGAGAGTCAAAGTTATGATTTTTCTAGTAGTCATGTATGGATGTGTGAGAGTTGGACTCTAAAGAAAGCTGAGCGCTGGAGAATTGATGCTTTTGAACTGTGGTGTTGGAGAAGACTCTTGAGAGTCCCTTGGACTGCAAGGAGATCCAACCAGTCTATCCTAAAGGATATCAGTCCTGAGTGTTCATTGGAAGGACTGATACTGAAGCCGAAACTCCAATACTTTGGCCACCTGACGTGAAGAACTGACTCATTTGAAAAGACCCTGATGCTGGGAAAGTTTGAAGGCAGGAGGAGAAGGGGATGACAGAGGATGAGATGGTTGGACGGCATTACTGACTCGATGGACATGAGTTTGAGCAAGCTCTAGGAGATGGTAATGGATAGGGAGGCCTGGCATGCTGCAGTTCATGGTGTTGCAAAGAGTTGGACCAGACTGAGCGGCTGAACTGAAAGATGGTAAATTTAGGATGCTATGGAGCACTCAATCCAGTCTGGGGAATTTGGGCAGATTTTTTGCAGGAGGTGATGTCTGAACTTAGTCCAAGATGAGTAGGATTCATTGTAGCAGAGTTGGAAAAGGGCCTCTCAAGTAGAGGAAACAAGATTTCTGAAGACCCATAGGTAAAGATGACCTTAGAACATTGGGGACAGCAAGTCATGCAATAGATTTCACCTAAAACAAAGGAATGAGGAGAAAGTGGGATAAGAGATAAGGCTGGACTGGTAAGCTAGTGCCAGTATGTGATGAACTCTGCTAAAAAAAAAAAAAAAACCCTGAAAAACTGTTGAAATAGATTAGAAAGAACTGTATGTCAAATTGAATATTAAGTAGGAATAATAACATGATTTGTTGGTACCATTCACTGACATTAGGAAGGGGGCTTCCCAGGTGGTGCAGTGGAAAAGAATCAGCCTGCCAATGCTGAAAACCTGGGTTCAGTCTCTGGGTTGAGAAGATCCCCTGGAGGAGGAAATGGCAACTCACTCCAGTATTCTTGCCTAGAAAATTCCATGGACAGAGGAGTCTGGTAGGCTACAACCCTTGGGGTCGTAGAGTCAGACACAACTTAAGCGCACATGTACATCGTACCCTGCCATGGGGAAAAACAGATTGATACTCCAGATTACATAGAAGTAGAGGTAGGAAGAAATATGTTCCTTGAATTATCAGATGGAACTATCCAGAAGCCAGTGGATATTCAGGTCTGGAACCTAGCAAGAAATTTGGCTTAGATAAAGATTTGGAGTCAAAAAAAAAAAAAAAAAAAGATTTGGAGTCATCAGCCTATGCATAGCAACTGAAGCCATGGAAGTGGCTGAGAGGAGCCAGGAAAGATACAGAATGAGAAGATAGTTGTCCATATTTACTTTTTGCATATTTGTCTTCTGGATAAATATTTGATAAACTAATATCTTATTGAGTTTGTTGTTTTATCTCTCCTTAATCAGTCCATGGACTAAACAGTCCGTGGAATTCTTCAGACCAGAATACTGGAGTGGGTAGCCATTCCCTTCTTCAGAGGAAATTCCCAACCCTGGAATCGAACCCAAGTCTGCCACATTGCATGTAGATTCTTTTTTTTTTTTTTAATCTTTAAATATTTTAATTGTGAAATGGAAAATACCTGAAGAAAAGTACATAGAATGTGTAACTCCATACAAGAGGAGAATCTTGGTATGTTGGTACCTTGTTGTTACCTAAAGAAGAAATGCCCACCCCCTGTGATCATTTCTGACCCCAAGACCACTATCTTGTGAATATAATAACATATAATAATATAATAACATATAATAATATAATAACATCTTGATTTCTCACTTATCTATCTTTGAAATTTACATAAATACAATCAAACCGTATGAATTTGCTCAGTTGTTAAAACTCCTAACTAGATTAACTCAAAACTCCACACTAAAGGCTTTGCAGAAGGAAATATATGCCAATTCAGGTATAAAAATTATTTTCCTCAGTTTCTATGGTGTTGCCAGACTCCAAGATCAACCCTCCCTCCAAGGTTCAAGGATTCACTGGGAGAACTCATAGCAAAACAATACAAAGCAAAATCAGCAAAAAGAAAAGGTGCACTGGGCAAACTTCAGGAAAAACCAGCCCCATGTTTCCAAGGATCCTTTTCCCAGTGGAGTCACAAAAGCCATTAATTCCCCAGGAACGAGCTGTGACAGTACATGTGAAATGGTAACAACCAGGGGAGCTCGTTAGAAACTCAATATCTAGTATTTTCATTGGTGCCTGACTGCATAGGCAGGCTCTGCCTGGCACATACCAGAATTTCAGACTCTCAGAAGGAAAGCAAGTATTTAGCATAAATTATATTGTTTGAACAAACACTGTAGACATAGTGAGCCATTCTTATCAATTAGGATAATGGGAATCTTCTCAAAATTTTAAGTTCTAGTTGTAAATCAAGAGCCAAACTTCAACCAGGCCTTTAAAGGATAAGTTGTCTCAGCTCTGCTGCTACCCATTTTCTGCATACTACTGTCCTAAACAAATGGCTTTCAACAACATAAAAAAAAAATACAAATTATGTAAAAAGCCAAGAAAAATCAAGACATTCCCAAAACACAAGGCAAAAATCAGGAATACTTCAGGTGTTCTTAGATTGTTGCTACTTAACTTCAGTCTCTGCCTCTTTCCTCATATGGCCTTCTTCTGTGTCTTCTCATCTTCTGTTTATTGTAAGTGGATTTAAGTCACATCCAGAAAATCCAGGATAATCTCACCTAGAGATCTTTATCTTAATTACATCTGTAAAGACCCCCTTTTTTTCCCCCAAATAAGGTCACATTCACAGGTCTTGGGAGTTAGGATGTGGACATATCTCTAGGATGCCACCACTTAATCCCAAACAACCTGTTACTATATTAGTTTTATCTTAATAGATTTCCATAGAATTCTCATCTTGCCTTAGTGATCTCAGAGGTTTAGCAGAGCAAAGACCAATGACTTACCCACTAAAACTTGTTCACTCTAGTTTTATCTCAATAAATGACAATTCTGGTTTCTTGATCTAAAAATACAGCGGTTGACCTAGGTTCCTCTTTTTCTCTCATTTCCCTCATCAATCTATTACCCAATCCATTTAGCTCTATCTTCAAAATGTATCTAGAATCCAATTAGTTCTCATAACTACTACTGCTATCACCCTAGACCAAGTCACCATTATCTCTTACCTGGATTCTTCCACCAGCCCATTGACTAGTTTCCCTGCTTCTTTTTTTGTCCCCCTACTCTCTACTCAGCACTCCAAATGATTTCTTTTAAATATAAGATCATGCCACTCTTCTGTTCAAAACCCACTACTGCTTTTACATCTCACTAAGACTAACCAAACTTCATAAAACATTCTCCATAATCAGTCTTCTCATTAGCTGTTTCACCTCATTTACTACTCTCCACTTTGTCACGCTGTCCTAGTTGCTGTTCACTGAATATACCAGGCTTATGGCTTGTTGTTGTTGTTCATCACTCAGTTGTGTTCGACTCTTTGCAACCCCATGAACAGCAGCCTGTCAGCCTTCCTTGTCCTTCACTATCTCCCGAAGTTTGCTCAAATTTGTGTCCATTGAGAGGCTTAGGGCTAACCCACGGCATTTTTGTTTAGTTGTATTCTCTGCTTACAGTGCTCTTTATCCAAATATCTTCAAATGTCACTACTTCTGTTTTTGATCAAATGTCTCCATTTGAAGAGGAAATGAGGCTGAGAGGATTCAGATTTTTCCACTTCCTCAGCCACCTATAGAATGACCCGCAATCATGTGATCTCTCTCTCACACACACTCACACATACACACACACACACTTACTCCCAACCACACAAGCCCACAATATGACCCTCTATCCTCATAAAACCACTCATAATCTTGATCCTACCTCTCCCTCACCGCATGCAGTCTCTCTTTCATTCAACTAACCCCTAAATGTAGTCATACTCGCAGTCTCATCATGGTCTCACACTGGGACCCTCCTTTGCCCACTCTCCCATGTGACTAGACTTGTGAATTTCTCCCGAGGCTGCTTTGGTCCCAGACACTCATGTTCCACATTCGGGTTCTCTCTTCTGGCTCCCCAACACGTTCCTCAGCAGCTTGCCTCAAGGGCATCTGAGCGCTCCCAGATCAATGCGTAACCCTGAGCAGCCTCCCATGCATTTGGCTGAGGCCAGGCCCCGCCTCAGAGCCGAGGGAAGGCAGTTTACCTCTGCCGAGTCCGTCCCGCCGTTGGCGAAGTCCTGGACTACATTTCCCGGGATGCCGTGGGGCTCACTATGTTGCAGGATGAGCGCCAAAACCTGCGAGAGCCACAGCAGAAACTTGAGGCTGGGCTCAACTTGGTATATAACAGTCTCTGGGAGTTTATAGCCAGTGGGCAGGGTGATGGAGTCAGTGGAGTCAGCTTGACTAAAGTTCGCTCATGGAATCCTTGTCAGCTGAGACTCGCCGAAGCCTCAGGCGCGCTGCCAGGTCCAGGTTCCTCGCCACGGGGGACTCAGGATGAATTGGAGGTAGCTTTTAGCAGCTTCTCTCTCGCTCTCTCGCGCGCGCTCTCTCTCTGTCTCTGCATGTAGATTCTTTACCAATTGAGCCACCAGGGAAGCCCAGAAATACTGGAGTGGGTAGCCTGTCTCTCCTCCAGGGGATCTTCCCAAACCAGGTTCTCCTGCATTGCAGGCAGATTCTTTACCAGCTGAGCTGCCAGGGAATCCCTCCTTAATCAGTACCTTTCTTATTTAGACCATCTACCATGAAATCAAAAACTGTGCCTTTTCAAAAACTGATAAATCTGAAAGTACAAATACTTCAATAGTATCATGCCATTCAGAGCAGATTCCATTTTCTCATCTGAAACTTCTTTCTAAAATACAGTGTATCATTTTTATAGATAATTTTGTTTTAATTTAAAAATTAAACATAATCAGTTCATTATTATTATTTACAGTATTGATAGTGGGAAGAAAATGTATAGAATTCATTGTTTGAAACATTGAATAATTTCCCCTCATGTAATAGCCTCATGTATGAATAATCAACACTGCAACTATTTGGAGAGGTTACAAGGAGAGGTATAAACATGTTTTGTTTGGTTTAGTTTTCTCTAATGTTTTCGCACATGGACCTGAGTTATTGTGGAGCATCACAGTATACTTGGGATTTTGCAGGTATTTGTCTCTAATGGGTGGCTGTGTGACGTTGTGATCGTAGTGGCAATCACAAATCGCGAGGCTCACTCTTCTGCCCATGGCATTAGCCTTTTTCTGGTGGAAAATGGAATGAAAGGATTTATCAAGGGACGAAAGCTAGATAAAATTGGACTAAAAGCCCAGGTAAGTCATAATACAAATTTGTTTTCATAATATAAATCCTTTATAAATATATTGTTTATATACAATTGAGTTTACTCAGTTATGCTTTTTATATAGAACTACATATAGCACAATCATACCGTTCTTCCTATGCTGGATTCTTAAAATATGCTTTTTCAGAAATGATTGTGGAAATTTATTCCACTGTTTATGCAACTGTTGTCAGCAGTAGAAGTGAATTAGGATATTTTGAAAATCTGCTTTAGAACATTAACTGCATGATAATACTGTCTATCAGAGAAGGCAATGGCACCCTGCTCCAGTACTCTTGCCTGGAAAATGCCATGGATGGAGGAGCCTGGTAGGCTGCAGTCCATGGGGTCATGAAGAGTTGGACACAACTGAGTGACTTCACTTTCACCTTTCACGTTACTTCATTGGAGAAGGAAATGGCAACCCACACCAGTGTTCTTGCCTGGAGAATCCCAGAGATGGGGGAGCCTGGTGGGCTGCTGTCTCTGGGGTCGCACAGAGTCGGACATGACTGAAGCGACATAGCAGCAATACTGTCTATTTTTGAAATTGAATTATGAAATAACAGGAAATATTTTTTCCTACTACTTGGTAATTATTTAGTAATTTTTTCATTACCAAAAAGAAAAACGTGTTTTACTTGAGATGCATTAGAAATCCTTAGTGCTCAATATCTGTAGAACAGAACAGTATTAGAACTAGAATGACAGGTAATCGCAGTGGGAAAGCCACTTTTGGAATCAGATAGACCTCAATTTGAATCCCAGGTTTACCACTTACTAATTGTGATCATTAACAACTTCATTTTGTCTGCCAATTTGTTTTGTTTTCTGAATGGCAATACTAATCACCTCATCAGGTTCTTGGGAGATTTAAATGAGGTAATGCTGTACTCAATCGTATGATCCCTTAGGATACTACAGAATTTTTCTTTGAAGATGTACGGTTGCCAGCAGGTGCCCTACTTGGAGAAGAGAATAAAGGCTTCTATTACCTCATGCAAGAGATTCCACAGGTCAGAAATATTAAAAGAATCCACCTTTTGATTAGATGATGGACTGGAGTAGAATAATACAGGACTATATAAATCCATGCATACAAAACTTGTGATAGCCAGTCACTTGACTATAACTTGAAGTTGTAAAATATACATATATTTTATATATTATATATATTATTTATTTTATATATATTATATATATACATGCAAAAATCATATATATGACTGGACGTATGAATAAGTGAACTCAAGGATATCCAACTAAAGCTTATAAGTGAGTCAGGAAAATAAGATTTTCAGTCCTATGATTCCTTCTTGGAATGATTTTAGTGTCTTACCTGCAAGTCAAGAATTTTTAGCTCTTTGAAAGGAAATAGCCAAAATATTTGCCAACTTCTTTTTTTTAAATAATACTCAAACAGCTTTGGAATTTCTTTTCTCATAAGTAAGTAAAGAGAAGAGGGAAATGAATTACTTATATATCTGTATTAAAAACAGGCATACATAAAGATAAAAGATTTTTTTAAGAGACTTACTATAGATGATCAAAATAGTCTTAAAAATCTCAGTGGGAGTCTTTTCTTATGAAGAATTAAATAAATTAATCTTTAGGAGTTTTATAAAGATTATTTATGTGATTTATTGTCATTGAAATCATATGAAAATCACTTGTGTAATTAGAGTAATTATCTAATTTGGTGGTTATAGGAAAGGCTGATAATTTCCGAGATAGCAGTTTCAGCCAGTGAATTCATGTTTGAGGAAACCAGGGACTACGTTAAACAAAGAAAAGCTTTTGGGAAGACAGTTGCAGATTTACAGGTAAGCTTTTCATTGGTATTACATAGTTTCATTTTCCCTGGCAGCTCAGCTGGTAAAGAATCTGCCTGCAATGCAGAAGACCCTAGTTCAATTTCTGGGTCAGGAAGATGTGCTGGAGAAGGGATAGGCTCTCCACTCCAGTATTCTTGGACTTCCCTGGTGGCTTAGCTGGTAAAGAATCCACCTGCAATGTGGGAGACCTGGGTTGGATCCCCGGGTTGGGAAGATCCCCTGGAGAAGGGAAAGGCTACCCACTCCAGTATTTTGGCCTAGAGAATCCCATGGGCTGTATAGTCCATGGGGTCTCAAAGAGTCAGACACAACTGAGTGACTTTCACTTTCACATAGTCTCAATTTGCTCATCTGAAATGGGTCTCAGCTAAACATGAATGTGGAGTAATTTTCACATAGGTGATGTCAACTGAAAAATATGCACAACTTAAAAGTTGAGAATTCTGTTTTACTTGATGGACAAAGCTGCGGATGTGAGCCCCAAAGACAAGCTCTTAGACAGCTCTGAGGGACTGATCCAAACAGGTAAGGGAGGAACCAGATACCTAAGAGTTTTGCAACAAAAACCAGATAGTTGGAACATCCAAGTTCAGTTCAGTTCAGTTGCTCAGTAGTGCCCGACTCTTTGTGGCTCCATGAATCGCAGCACACCAGACCTCCCTGTCCATCACCGACCCTCAGAGTCCACCCATACCCATGTCCATTGAGTTGGTGATGCCATACAACCATCTCATCCTCTGTCATCCCCTTCTCCTCCTGCCCTCAATCTTTCCCAGCCTCAGGGTCTTGCCAAATGAGTCAACTCTTCGCATCAGGTGACCAAAGTATTGGAGTTTCAGCTTCAGCATCAGTCCTTCCAATGAACACCCAGGACTGATCTCCTTTAGAACGGACTGGTTGGATCTCCTTGTAGTCAAAGGGACACTCAAGAGTCTTCTCCAACACCACAGTTCAAAAGCATCAATTTTCAGTGCTCAACTTTCTTTATAGCCCAACTCTCACATCCATACATGACCGCTGGAGAAACCATAGCCCTGACTAGACGGACCTTTGTTGGCAAACTAATGTCTCTATTTTTTAATATGCTGTCCAGGTTGGTCATAACTTTCCTTCTAAGGAGTAAGCGTCTTTTAATTTCATGGCTGCAATCACCATCTGCACTGATTTGGGAGCCCAAAAAAAATAAAGTCAGCCACTGTTTCCACTGTTTCCCCATCTATTTGCCATGAAGTGATGGGACTGGATGCCATGATCTTAGTTTTCTGAATGTTGAGCTTTAAGCCAACTTTTTCACTCTCCTCTTTCACTTTCATCTAGAGGCTTTTTGGTTTTTCTTCACTTTCTGCCATAAGGGTGGTGTCATCTGCATGTCTGAGGTTATTGATATTTCTCCCGGCAATCTTGATTCCAGCTTGTGCTTCTTCCAGCCCAGCATTTCTCATGATGTACTCTGCATATAAGTTAAATTAGTAGGGTGACAATATACAGCCTTGATGTACTCTTTTCCCAATTTGGAACTAGTCTGTTCCTTCCTTCCTGTCAGGTGGTCTGGTATTCTCTTTAAGAATTTTCTACAGTTTGTTGTCATCCATGCAGTCAAAGGCTTTGGCATAGTCCGTAAAGCAAAAGTAGATGTTTTTCTGGAGCTCTCTCACTTTTACGATGATCTAACAGATGTTAGAAATTTGATCTCTGGTTCCTCTGCCTTTTCTAAATCCAGCTTGAACGTCTGGAAGTTCATGGTTCATATACTGTTGAGGCCTGGCTTGGAGAATTTTGAGTATTACTTTGCTAGCGTGTGAGATGAGTGCAATTGTGCAGTAGTTTGAGCATTCTTTGGCATTGCCTTTCTTTGAGATTGAAATGAAAACTGACCTTTTCCAACCCTGTGGCCACTGCTGAGTTTTCCAAATTTGTTGGCATTTTGAGTGCAGCACTTTCACAGCATCGTCTTTTAGGATTTGAAATAGCTCAACTGGAATTCCATCACCTCCACTAGCTTTGTCCGTAGTGATGCTTCCTAAGACCCACTTGACTTCACATTCCAGGATGCCTGCCTCTAGGTGAGTGATCACACCATCATGATGATCTTGGTCATGAAGATCTTTTTTTTTATAGTTCTTCTGTGTATTCTTGCCACCTCTTCTTAATTTCTTCTGCTTCTGTTAGGTCTGTACCATTTCTGTCCTTTATTGTGCCCATCTTTGCATGAAATGTTCCCTTGCTATCTCTAATCTTCTTAAAAAGATCTCTAGTCTTTCCCATTCTATTGTTTTCCTCTATTTCTTTGCATTGATCACTGAGGAAGGCTTTCTTATCTCTCCTTGCTATTCTTTGGAACTCTGCATTCAAATGGGTATATCTTTCCTTTTCTCCTTTGCCTTTTGCTTCTCTTCTTTTCACAGCTATTTGTAAGGCCTTCTCTAATAGTCTTGAAGAGATCTCTAGTTTTTCCCATTCTATTGTTTGCAAAAGCTGTCTTCAGAAGGCTTCCATGTCTTTCTACATCAATAGGGAAATAAGACATGTGAGTGAATAGGGATGGAAGTAGGAAGGTTTGAGTCTCTTCGGAGTGAGAGACTGAACACTAGGGACACTTAGCGTAAGCTTTCTGGCAGTACTGAGGACCCAGATGAGGTTAGTGCTCATGCATTTATAGCAGAATCTTCTGCTTTTTTGTGTATTAGCTTTACTGCAAGGGTTTTGCTTCTTCCTGACTTTTGCCAAGAAGTTTAAGGTATTTTCAGAATAACTCAGAATATGGTGGCCATAATCACTAAAATGTCAATCAAATTTTAAACCCTGTAATTTCTTCTTAAGTGAAGAAACAACTTATAAATAAAGCAATCGTCAAAAATCCTGCAGTTGGAAGTCTAATTGCAAAGTTCTAAGTGCAGTGTCTTGCCTGAAATGCGTTGCGAAGGGAAAAGGAAAGATGAAATACTTCGGTAAGTTTTCAGCACAGCGTTATATGAAATTAAATTCGGGTGTGATTTAAATCCTAGTACAAGTCCTTAAGTCTTTGTGGTCTAGGCAAGTTGTATTATCTCTCTCAGAAGTACTTTCTTCTTGGTAAGATGTGAGTAATATGAGTAGGTACCTCATAGAGTTGTTATGAAGATAATACCAATAAAGGGCTTAGAATATTTCCTGGCAAAGCAAGCTTTCATTAAAGTTAGCTACTCCAGTTGACCTATGAACAGCACAGGTTGAATGGCACAGGTCCATTTACACGTGGATTTTTTTCAATAAATACATTGGAAAAATTTCTGAAGATTTTAAGACAACTTAAATAGTGCAGATGAACTGTGTAGCTGAGAAATATGAAAAAAATGAGAGAATGTATATCATGAATGCATAAAATGTGCAGATACTTGTCTATTTTATCATTTACTACCATAAAGTATATATAAATTTATTATAAAAAGTTAAATTTATCAAAATTTATGCACACAGACGCAGGATGCCATTGATTACGCTCGGCTATGATAAAGTAATCACACTGCTGTTTCTTTGTTATCAATGCACCAGTCATTTTACCTGTAAATTTCTTTTTCACGTAATCTTTTCATTATGAAAAACATTGATATACACTATTTGTTTCACTGAGCAAATATATATTGATTGCCTTCTGAAGGTTGTATGCTCAAATGTAATTTGATAGACATGACTCTGGAAATACTGTAAGCTCCTAGCAACGCAAAGAGAGTGATACTACTTGTTATCACTCTTTGACTTTCCCAGATGTATCCAAAGTGGAATTAGTATCATTTACTTCTCAAAGCCAACCACTACCACTTTCACATCAAAATTGTTTATATATGTATATCTATGGCTGATTCATGTTGAGGTTTGACAGAAAACAACAAAATTCTGTAAAGCAAATATCCTTCAATTAAAAAATAATTTAAAAAATACTCTTGCCTTTAGCCCTATTCTGGGTACTATAAAAAGTGAATCAAATAGACATATTTTCCATCCCCTTGGAAATCTACACTTGCTGTGTTTATGAATTTCATATTGCTGCTGCTGCTGCTGCTGCCGCTAAGTCGCTTCAGTCGTGTCTGACTCTGTGCGACCCCATAGACGGCAGCTCACCAGGCTCCCCCATCCCTGGGATTCTCCAGGCAAGAACACTGGGGTGGGTTGCCATTTCCTTCTCCATAATTTCATATTAAATTACAACAAAAATGACAGTAGTATTACCCAGATTGCCTGTAGACTTCAGAATGTTAAATTTCATTTGACATTTAACCATGAAAAATATAGAAAATTGGTATAATATTTTCAAATGGGAGAAAAAAATTCTTCTAAAATATTTACTTATTTAATAACATATATGTGCATATGTGTAGATATGTATGTATGTATTTTGATAGCAAAAAGATAACAGTCCTTTTCAAAGCAAGTGCCATTTTAGAGGTTAAAGCGTCTGCCTCCAATGCAGGAGACCCGGGTTAGATCCCTGGGTTGGGAAGATCCCCTAGAGAAGGAAATGGTAACCCACTCCAGTACTCTTGCCTGGAGAATCCCATGGATGGAGGAGCCTGGTGGGCTACAGTCCACGGGGTCGCAAAGAGTCGGACACGACTGAGCGACTTCACTTTCTTTCAAAGGTAGTTTATTAAAACTTCACTAGGTGGCGGTACGATTCTGCTTCTACAGGTATCTACAGCGCTGGTAAGAGCAGTATTTTCCAAGTAGATGTGTGGTTCTGAGATGTCTGAGATGTTTCTTCTGATCTTCTTGTTTTATATAAATAAGTACCTTTGAATAATATTTTCATACTCAATCTAGCGATGGATTCAGAGAAGAATGAATAATACATACATGCTGATTGCTTCAGTCGTGTCTGTAACTGCATGGACGGCAGCCCCCCAGGCTCCTCTGTCCATGGGATTCTCCAGGCAAGAATACAGGAGTGGGTTGCCATGCCCTTCTCCAGGGAGTCGTCCCTGCCTAGGGATCGAACCCGTGTCTCTTATGTC